ACGGGGGAGTGGAGCTAGGGGTGCAGCAGGGGGTGTGTGGAAAGGAGGTGGGACTGTTTGGGGAGGCTGAGAGGAGGCCGCCGTCGTGTCGTTTGCAGCGCCTGTAGTCTGGTGCCCTCGTGCGCTCGGTAGCCCAGAGAGCCTTGCTGTGCCAGTCGCCTGTAGGTCCGTTGCTCCTGCCGCTTGTCGTAGCCGCGGAGCCAGATACTCCCGTAGTCCGGTGCCCTCCTGCGCTCGGTAGCCACTGTGCCAGTCCTCATGTTGCCCGTGTGTCTGCAGCTTCAGCCGTCATCTCCCATTTTATCTCCCTTCACAATTCCTCCTCCTCCTCACTTGCCCTCTGTGATCGCCTCTAGCTTTGCTTGTAATTGTGAACTATTGCTATGCTTGCTCATTGTGCTGATTACACCCCACTTTGGCTATGGGGGTGTGTCAGAATGTTATAATTGTCTAGCCTGCAGTGGGGTATTCTATAGCGAGTACAACCCAGTTAGGGTTTCCTATATGTATGCCAACTGCTGCTAGTGCAAATCCTCCTTTTGTTCATTTCTCCTTCTGATTGTTGTTTCTGATACAGCCGATCTCGCCGTCGACGGGAAGTTTTCGACGGTTTGGTAGAAGAAGTAGGATTCTGCAGTTCGACGGAAGTTTCGGTCGAGCAGGCTCTGCTCGACAGAATCTGGTGGACGACAGAACATGCAGGGTGCAACGTCCCATATTATGATGCTGGGCAATTTCAAGGCTGTCAAAGGAGGAGTATGAGGGTGGGTATTATCTCAGAGAAGATATGCCATTCGTAATAAACAAGGGTCACTACAAAGGGTGTATTCACGTGTTTGATACAAATATTCACGCTATCAGTCACTACTATATAAGGAAAAGTTGACTTGAATGGTCATAGATGAACCCCCCGCTAAAAAAAGATAATGTGACATAAAATGAACCTGGATGCATTTTCAGATTGATCAACCCTAAACATGTTATTCGCCTGATGTTTATGGTTGATCCGTTCCCAAATTGAGTCAGCTTCCGACTGGGTTTTAGTTTTGTTTTAGGTTACTTGATTGGTTTGGCATGAACGGAAAAAAAAATAGAGTTTCAAGTATTTCGGCAGGAGTTATACGTGTGATCATTCGCGTAATTTTTTGCGAGCTGTTAGTGACTCAATGCGTTAAATAATTACCATACCTGTTAATAACAAAAGTAGAAGAAAGAAGAGGGGGTTCACTAGCAAGCAGTTGGATACAAATAGCAAACCCTAACTGGGTTGTACTCGCTATGGAGCACCCCACTGCAGGCTAGATAACATAACATTCTGACACACCCCCATAGCCAAAGTGGGGTGTAATCAGCACAGTAAGCAAAGCACAACAAGCTCAAGGTGGATCACAATGTCACCACACATTCTGAGGACAATTACAAGAAGCAACAGTTTAAAGTTCACACTTATGAGCAAAGCTAGTGGTAGTCACAGCGGGCAAGTGAGGAGGAGGAGGGACTGTGAGAGGAGAGAAGATGGGAGACGACGGCTGAAGCTGCAGACACACGGGCTACAGGAGCGGCTGGCACAGTGGCTACCGGGACAGCGCCCCGGACTACTGGAGTAACTGGCTCACGGGCTACGACGAGCTACAGGAGCAACGGACCCACGGGCGACAGGCGCAGCAGGCTCTCTGAGCTACCAGGACAGCGCCCCGGACTACAAGTGCTGCGGACGACAAGACGGCAGCCTCCTCTCAGCCTCCCCAAGCAGTCCCACACCCCCCCACACACACCCCCAGTTTCACCGCTAGCTCCACTCCCAAGGCACCCCCCTTAAACCCTAAACCCCAGTCTCCCACACATCCACCCCCCTCAGCGACAGCTGCAGCAGTGGGAGACAAAGGAGGAGGAGCAAAGGGAGGAATGAGGAAGTGACACCCCCATACTCGCCACCCCCTGCTTGCCACCCCCAAACCCTAACACAGACAGGGTAGGATGGCGGGTAGGCAGGGTGGGATGGCGGCGCTCGCCCCCCTCCCCCAGGTACGGCCCCCGAGGGAGCCGCGACGGGCGACGGGAAATGGGGCCGGGGCGCAAGGAGGGCGGCGGGGCCACAGGTGTAGGGCGGCGGGGCCGCGAAGGTGGGGCGGCGGGGCCGCGTACATAGGGTGGCGGGGCCGCGAAATGGGGCAGCGGGGCCGCACCGTAAGGCGGCGGGGCCGCGACGTGAGGCGGCGGGGCCGCGAAGTGGGGCGGCGGGGCCGCACCTTAAGGCGGCGGGGCCGCGACGTGAGGCGGCGGGGCCGCGAAGTGGGGCGGCGGGGCCGCGACGGGTCCCCGTCGCCCGTCGCGGCGCCTTCAGAGGGCGACGCGGCGAACGACGGGGCAGAAGCCCGCCGCGCGCCTCGGGGCGCACAGCGGGCAGAGAACCGCCGCGCGCCTCGGGGCGCACGGCGGGCAGAAAACCGCCGCGCGCCTCGGGGCGCACGGCGGGCAGAAAACTGCCGTGCGCCTCGGGGCGCACGGCGGGAAGAAAAAGTAGCAGCGGAAGCGAGGAGGTGGTAACCCACCCACAGGATCGATCCAAGGGGATCGACCTGCTCTGATAGCATGACAAAAGTAGAAGAAAGAAGAGGGGGTTCACTAGCAAGCAGTTGGATACAAATAGCAAACCCTAACTGGGTTGTACTCGCTATGGAGCACCCCACTGCAGGCTAGATAACATAACATTCTGACAGTTAAAACTCTTGAAACAGTGACCGTACACGATATTTTTTTACTGTAAGCGTCTTTGAGTCTCATGCTTCTTGGTTGTGGTGTTATGAGTGCAATTGAGTGAGCGAACAAAGATTGCACTATCGAAGCAAAACGGTACATCGAACGAAAGAATGAGCGAAGATTATAAAGCGAAGCTGGCGTTGTAACGGTAACGCGAGGAATTGGGGTGCGATATGGGCCTAGCGTCGAGATTGGGAAATCTCGATGCGGAGGTCCGACGCGCGGGTTACCAACCGACCCGTGACGTTGGGTCACGTCGTGAACAGTGGCGGAAACAGTGGTCAATGCGTGTGTAGTAAGTGGTAACTGTGCAGTTGGATACAGTCGATGCTCAACCCATCACAAAACATTTGCTCCTCACAATAAGAAATTTAGTCACTCGCGAACGTTTTGCCCGTGAGTGACTAAATTGACCATTGTGCCGATTTCAGGGTATAGTCACCAAGCTGAGGAAGAAAAACATCTACAGTACCTAAAAAACAACGGTTGCCCGTCATCAGAGAAGTTAACCTGGTTACAAAATTAAAGCCCTTGACTAGATTCACGTTGCAATTTCATATTACAGTCACATTTTTGCCCGTGGCGACAAGGGAGAATGTGGCGAAATATCTCAAACACGTTTCACGCACATGCCACCCGCCTACCTGGTGTTCTTGAAATGGACACCGACTGTACTTGTGACGGGCGTACGTGGTAAGACTTGCAAAACAGAGTAGCTTTGATGACTGGTAGGCTGGAAACTTGGCTGGAAAAGCTCAACAGAGCTGCTAGACTTGGCTTGATGAGAGAAAACTTCACTATGATCAAGATTAACAAGCCCACTAAAGCACAACTTCTTAAGCATTACAAACATGCAGATTGATAGCTCAAACTAGGCTGCTAGACAAGGCAACTTCCTTGGGAACTTGGGCACAATTCAGATTCCATGAACCTTGAGTGACTTGAGAGCCACATGAGGTGCATGAATAAGAAATCTCTGGAATGTACTGTTATAGCTGATTCTGTTTTGTAGAAACCTGTAGAAACTGTCGACCCTTCTGTTTGAGAGCAATCCCGAACTGTATCGAGTCTTCGGCTGCAATCTGATTTTGCTGCGGAAGTTTCTGAATTTTCGCGAAGCCTTCAATCCGTCGCCGACATTCTTGCTGCTCCTTGTGTGCAAAGGGCTGGGGCGGCAGAGACTCGATTCTCCAACAGTAAGGAGGCGTGCAAAGGGAATTTTCCTTCATGTGGCATATAGGCCCTGTTTGGTAGCCCAGCAAGTCATACTGCGGCTGGTGCGGGGGATCTTCCTCGCCCAAATTCGAACCCTGTTAAAGCCCACCGAATCGTTATTAGAACACCAGACCTGCCCAGTGTGACTTGGCTTCCGAACGCGTAAGAAACCCAGTCAGAGTGAAGGCGAGGACACTTACTACGAAATTGCGAGCACAGGCAAACTCGACCATCAGTGAAAGTCTAACCCATTTCTGCTTTCTAGTTCCACCCAGGCAGGCCTGCTCCGAGTGGCATGCTGAAGGGTATACGTCTCGCTAGTGTCTTTTCGGGTCAAATTAATACATTTTGATCCGTTTGTTCAAAGGTGAGAGATCGTGCCCGTTCATATTTTTCCTTTTTCCATATCGAGGGGTTTCTATTTGTCGGGCTGATTTTTTGTTTGTTTTTTGGGCAGCCTCGTACAGAAGTGGAAAATGTTCTAGAAATTTCTTCCTAAACACGTGGTAACTTCTTGCGAATACGGACGAGACTTCCTTCCAGTGTGAGTGGAGGCCCGAGGCTACGAAACAAATTGTAGGCTTCCCCAGTTCGAGTGCGCCCAGTGTGACTGGAAGGCTACCGAACAGGGCCGTTTTTCCATCGCATCAACTCCGAGGGCCTAGGTGGAAGAACACCGCAGCTGAACTTTGGTCCACAGTGTGAAGGCCACTGCACCAACAGTAGCTATTCACGAACCCAATCTGTAGCACTTGCACACCCTTGCACACGGGGAGGAATGTTGAGTACACCCTCTTTCTCATTACACTGAACTGTGCTGAACTGATGGAAAACCTAGCTACCTTCGATTTGTCTGATTGAACCATACCTAGACTTAATCTAACCACCGTTAACCGTGCTTTTCCCATCTTGACTTCACTAAAACCGAATTCACAATGGCGAGAAAGAGGGTGTACTCAAGTTGCGGTCTTTCACAGGACCACATACGGAGTAACTGATGCCATTCTAGCTAGTGAGCGGACGAGATGCGGTTACTATGGCGTCGCCTGGCGCTTGTCGCGTGGTGTCTCGCTTGGCTGGTGATCGCGGTGTGGACGGCGTGGTTCACGTGGCAAGCCGCCGATAACCCGCGCAAAGAAGATCTTCGCACATGGTGCGCGGCTCGAACGCGATACGTGCACCAGGAATTCGTGTCGAGCTCGAATCAAGTCGAGGTGGGTCCTAATAACCATTTCCCTTACGTGTCTCAGTCAATGGGGGTCTGAGCCATTAGTGGCCTGTTCGTTGTCCGTGCGTCGATTTTAGGTCGCGGAGGACATATCGGCGGCTCGGTGGTGGAACCCGTGGATACAAGCGAAGCCGCTGACCGAAACAGCGTCCCATCCCATCACGGGTTGTTTACCGCTCCCATGGGTTTCATGATACTTAGTAGGATGTTCGCGTGAACAGATGGTGGTATCATGGTACTGCTAGTTGTACTGTTCCGCGATGCTGGAAGTCGCGACGCGATACGGAACGCTTTTAGTAGTAGTGTGAAGAGATAAGTCCGGTCGGGTGGCAGCGCAGGGTTTTGGGAGGTGCTGGTTCGGGGGAACGACGATGATGACTCGTCATCATCGGATGATCAAATCGACTGCGCATCTTCTCAGAAACTACCGTCTCGTGCCTTCCTACAATGCAGGTTCTGGCAGGGCTGGTGAAGGTGTTCATTCAACGGCGTATCCACAAACCCCAACACCCCCTCCTACTGGGTCTGGATTTGAGACGCCTCAAAACGCGATTATCTTTATCCCTCCCCACCCCCCTCTCCCCCCCCCCCCCCCCCCCCCCGCCCCACCCTCCTCCCCTCTCTACAATACAATGCAGATCCTGGCCGGGCTGGTGAAGGCGTTCAACGGGGTATCCACGACCTCTAACACCCCGTCCTACTGGGGTCTGGAGGGCGGGATAACGAACGCCACGTGGAGCGCGTTCAGCGAGGAGTGGATTCAACGCATCCAGCCATGGTCCCTCACCTCGTGGGGCGTGTTTATCAGCCACGACCAACGGTACCCACCCACCCACCAACACCATCCAATCCCCTCTTCCACTGAGTTAACAATTTTTGGTGTTACTATCCGCACTTGGGCCTCATAGAACTTTAGCTGCATCGCTCCCACAACCTCTCACCCTCGTCCTCCTAAACTCCCTGCCACTTCTCCATTCCAACTTTCCCCCGACGCCCTCCCAAAATGGTAATGCTGCGTGCCCCTAACTTTCCTTGAAGCATATCATTTTGCCCTAGTGGGTTCGCGAGCACCGTGTAATATAGAGGTTTAAGGGTTTAGTTCAGTTGCCCCTATCAAATTTCGGGTGATAAGCTTTTGCACTTCACCATACGTAACCCTAATTTATCGTGGGCGCGTCCAGCGTATGATGCTAGCGTCTGGATGCTGCACGCTTCATCCTCGGGCAGCTAAAAATCCTTTCGGCTTGACAAGGAAACCAGGAAATGGGACTGCGTACAAAATGTACTGAGCTTTTATGTTTTTGCGAAGAAAAATGGCCGTTGTAGGGAAATGAAACCACACTCACAGGACAACAGATTTAGGTTTCTTAGGCTGAGCGCAGTGACAAGCGGTTAGTTTTTGGTCGAAAACTTTGAAAAATGTTAGTTTGATGGGAAACCGCCTGGGCCCTCTGTTGGTCGAAATCATGTCCACATATTTTTTTTTCAGGCTGGCCCTTTTTGCACATTCTAGGGTTGCGCTCCATCTTGCTCGCTGCAAACTTTCGATGAACCCCCAATTGTGCCTGAAGTTCAGCCATCCTTATCCTTGTTCTTGTACAAAGACTGTGAATGAACGTGCTGGTAGGCTAACATACATTCAAGGTCACACCATCTTTCTCCCATTCGTGCGAATCTTGATCCAGACCAATGCATGTGAATCCCCAGCTTGTTGTCTTACCTATCCATAATATTTCAGTCGACTACAAAGCCACCTCGTAGGTCTGCTCGGTGCTGTGATGAGAGACCCAGTCCAGTCCAGTGCATGGGAAGCCAGGCTTGCTGTCTCCTCCTCACCTGGCCTGCCCTGCCTTCTGGTCCCTCCCCTCTTCACTCCCCTCTTCCCTCCACTCCGCCCCTCCCGCCCGCAACTGCATGCAGCCCTGTGTTGGAGAGAATTCTCGACTGCACTGTCAGGACAATGCTCGGAAATGAGGCCCCTGCTTCTCCGCGCTATGTTGTCTCTGTCTTCCGCTTCCCCGCGCCTTACGACCTCCCCCCGTGCACCGATCTCTACTCTTTGCTCACTGAGATAACCAACCGCTTTCTGCTGTCGGGCGAAAATGTCGCTTTCCCCCCTTTTCTGCTGCCCAACAACCACATCGGGTTTGGTCCGTTCCCTCTCTTTCCACCTTCTCTCCTTTCATTGTGGTCCCCTCTAATAGGTTTGAATACCCCCATTGCTGCTACCTTCGCTGGCAATTAGATCAGTCATTCCATTCAGAGCAATTCCCTCCACTCAGAAAATCCCTCCATTCAGAAAATCCCTCCATTCAGCAATTCCCTCCATTCAGAAAATCCCTCCATTCAGAAAATCCCTCCATTCAGAAAATCCCTCCACTCAGAAGATCCCTACATTCAGCAATTCCCTCCATTCAGAAAATCCCTCCATTCTAAAAATCCCTCCATTCAGAAAATCCCTCCATTCAGAAAATCCCTCCATTCAGCAAATTTCTCCAATCAGCACATCCCTGCATCTTAAGTCAGAAGAGCATTCGAGTACTTTCTATTGTTTGCTCCCTCTTCCCCATCTTCCTGCAAGCCCCCTCCTCTAACTCACTTCGTCCCTGCAGTCCACTCGCTTCCTCTCTGCCTCACATCCCCTTCGTCTCCCTTTAAACGCCGCTCACCTCTCACACTCCTCTCGTCCCCTTGCAGTTTATGGCATCCCAATCATCCGCACGCCGCTGCCACCGCAGCCCTCCTTGGAGCAAGGAGTGGAGAGCATTTCAGGCGCTATAGCGGGGGCTATCGACACAGAAATGCTCATCTCGCACGCCCTCATGGACGTGCTCAACTATGGTCAGATGCCACACCTGGGGGCAGGGGCAGGGGCAGGGGCAGGATGCTGTTTGCGATCTGGTGCATGAGTTGTTGCAGGCCATGCCAAAGGCCACGTGGACTGTAGAGCTTGCTCACATGCTCACTTGCTCGCTCACCCACTCGCCCACTCGCTCACCCACTCGCCCACTCGCTCACTTGCTCGCGCAGCTGTAGATAGTCAATGGTCGCGTTTTGTTCACCGCTCAGGTCCCCGTCTTGTTGACAAAACTGTGGTGCACCTGCCGTCCGCAGTAGAAACCAACAAATGTTGCTTGATAAAAATGTCTTTTTGACAAAGCGTCTTATGGATAAAGTAGTCTTGTTCTCATCTATCCTCTCCCATGCACCTGCCATCCGCAGCAACCAACAAGTACTCGTTTGATCTATATGATGCAACGGACGAGGAAGCTCCTGTGCTTATGTTTGGTGCCAACGTCAGCAAGAACTTCACTACTCTTCCTATAAAATGGATAACACCCACGCAAGTACAGCCAGGCTATAAGGTTGTGGAACCCTTCCCAGAAACCTTCCGCTTGCGAAACCTTCAAGCGCACTGCAGGTATTAACCTTCCTAACTTCCAGTCTCCCGGTCGTTTCTTTTGTTCTCTTTTACTGTTTGTGCTCCAAGTTCCTGGATAGCAGCAGATTCTCATTTCACTCCCCTTTCCTCGTTAATCTTGGTTGTTGCTCCAGGTTCCTGGACAGTGGCAGTGCGTGGCGGCTGGTGTGGGCGCCGGTGTTGGTGGCGGTGCTGGTGGCGGTGGTAGCGGTGCTGCTGACGCTCATCGTGGTATTCCTGGCGCGCAAGCAGGCGGCCATCAGCCGCGCCGTGAGGGAGGTGGAGCTGTGCACTGCCGTGCTCGAGCGCGCCCAGCGCTCCAAGAGCCACACCGTGGCCAACCTCTCGCACGAGCTGCGCACTCCCATCGTGGGCATGCTAGGTTGGTGCGAACATGTTATGCGTCGCTGGGTCAAGTTCGATCTCTTTCTGCTGGAGGAGGGGGTATGGTCGCCCCGAACAGTGACTTACCTCTGCTGTCTTTTCCGATCCCAACCACCCGCACCTCAACTTCTCCTCCTCTCCCCGCCAGGCATGATGGAGGCGCTACTGGAGAGCGAGCTACAGGGGGGGCAGCACCGGGACCTGGCAGTGGCCAAGGAGTGTGCAGCAGCCATCGTGGGGCAACTCAACTCCGTGCTCGACCTCGCCAAGCTGCACGCCGGCAGGCTCGCCCTCGAGACTCTCCCGCTCTCCCTGCACCACTGCGTTGACATGGTCGCCCGTGACTTGCTGCCCGAAGCCTGCAAGAGGGGCCTGCACTGTGAGTGCCATGCGCTCTTTGCCCTACCACTGTCAGTTGCAAGAGGTGCCAAGCTGGGCTGGGAGGTACGCACGAGCAGGTGGGTGTGCCGGCAGCACGGTGCATCTGAATGAAGTGGAAGCATGAAGGTGATGGTCGCCCCGGACTTACTGCCTCAGTGTGTTTGATCAGTAGTGCACACATGAAGGTGATTGATGCCCGAAACGCACTCGCGAGCGACATCTAGAACTATTGTCTAGCATTCTCACGAGGATTTCCATTTTTGTGTAGCTTTAGTATCAGATCTATCGCAGATTTAGTTCAGTCTTCTTCTTAGCCTTTCCACAAGCGCTTTTAGAAGAAGTGATAAGAACTGAAGGGAGGTAGCTTGGGAAGGTGAGGACAGGATAGGATCATGCACTGCCAGGGTGGCTCGGGGCCATCATTGGAGGTTAAAAAAAGGTTCACATTATTCAATAAAAATCCCCTTCTCTGTGTATCTCGTTGCACACGTGCCCGTGCGCGGCAGTGGTGTGCCAGGTGGACTGCAGTGTGCCCGAGGTGCTGTTGGGTGATCCGCTGCGCCTCGCTCAAGTTGTCAGGGAGCTCATCAGTGAGTGCTGCCTCACACCATAGCATCTCTCCGCCTTGTGCTTTTCTGCTCAAGTCAGCAGGGAGCTCAACTGTCAGTGCTGCCACACAGCATCTCGCCTTGTGCTTCGCCTCATGTCATGCACTCCGTCCTTCTCTCCCAGTTTCCTCGCTGTTGTTGTTTTTGTTGCTGCGGCTGCGGCTGTCGTTTGTTTTTATGTCGCTGTTGCTGATGCTGTTGAGGATGCTGTCGTTTCAAATTTTGACTCCTCGTTTCGCAGTTCTCTTCTTTTCAGCCGCATTCCTCTGTGTCCTGCCCTGCCCGATGGTGTGCTCCGCCCATCCATCCATCCATGCTCACCCACCCATCCATGCCATCAGGTCATGCCATCCGCACCACCGTATCAGGCCATGTGGCCTTTAGAGTGTGCTGCATCCCCATGCCCACCACCACGACTCAGGGGGGCTCGCCTCTCACCACGCCTCTCACCACACCCGCGACTGCTGATGCCATCGCACCACCATGTGTTGCTGCACCATTGGATTCTGCTGCGGCATCGGGGTCTGGAAGCGGGGAAGAGGGAGCGCAGTGTAGGGAGTGGCTTGCATCGTGGCTGGATGAGGCATATTACCAATGCAGCCGCAGCAGTGAGGGCAGTGGGGGCAGTGGCAGCAGTGGCGGTAGTGGCGGCAGTGGGGGCAGTGGGGAGAATGGGGGCAGTGGGGGCAGTGCGTGCAGTGGCACCACCATTCCACCAGCCACAGCGACAGCAGCTGCTGCTGCTGCTGGAGAAGAAGAAGAAGAAAGAGATGTGGAGGGAGGTGGGGCAGCAGTAGACGGCAGCGAAGCTGGGGAGAAGGGAGGCGGGAAGGAGGCGGAGCAGGAGGTTGGGCAGCTGCGAGCGGTGCTACGGGAACTGGAAGGGTGCGTAAGTCGCTTCAGTGATGCCTCTGTCGTGTGTGCGTCGGTTGATACTGCTGCTGCTGCTGATGCGGATGCTGAGGAGGGGTGCGGGAATAAGTGGAATGGAGGGGCAGAGCCGAGGGAACACGAGGAGGAGTCAGCAGTGCCGTCTGCATGGTGGGTTTGGAGGCAGTCATCGTTCTGGGGGCGTGTGAAGAAGCGTCTTCTTGGGTCGAGGGGGGTGGAGTCAGGTCCGCAAAGCCCTGGTGGTGATGGTGGTGTACCTGCTCCTTCTGCTGCCTCTGCTCCCTCTGCTGCCTCTGCTCCCTCTGCTGCCTCTGCCCCCTCAGCATCTGCGCATCCTGCTTCCAATGCAACAACAGTTGCAGGTAGCAGAGAAGACCATCAAGCGAAGGCACGTGGAGAGGAAAGGAAGAGCAAAGAGGGAGAGGAGGGAGGAGAGGGAGCGGCGGGCAGAGGGGGGTTGCTGGTGGTGATGGTGTGTGAGGACACGGGTGGTGGTATTCCACCGGAAGAGCTGCAGTGGGTGCTGGACCCGGAGGGGCAGGCAGCAGTGCAGGGCAGAGGAAGTGTGCTGCTGCAGCAAGGGGGCTCCATCAAAAAGCAGGCAGCAGTGCAGGGCAAGGGGGACTTGCTGCTGTCGCGAGGGGGCTCCATTGGAGATCACAAGGTGAGTGCTGCAGAGAGGGGGATTTATTGAAGGGCAGGCAACATTGGAGGGCAAGGAATCTTCGTTGCTCCTAAGAGGGGGGGTCCAACGGAAGGAGCATAGTGTCTGTGTGGTGCAACCCATGTTATTTGCTATGCCATATGTCATGCCATTTGCCACGCCATGCCATTCCTTTTGCCATGCCATGCCATGCCTTTTGCCATGCCATGCCATGCCTTTTGCCATGACATGCTATGCCATGCCATACCATGACTGTTTCCATGCCATGCCATTGAGTGAATTGGTAAATTGGAACCAATGACTGTATTAGGAAACACGAGGGTGTACTTAGTTGAGCTAGGAGGGGGGGGGGTTGGTTGAGTTTCTAGCCAACATTATTGGCCCTCACCAATAAGTTGGGTTGAGGAATTATTGGGGTCCCAATAATGTTTGCCAAATCCGGGCCAACATTATTGGGGGGCAAGGATTGGTCTGGCTGGGTTCCCAAACCCCAACTAGGGTTAAGCCTAATTGTGCACCCAAACATTCTTTGGGTGTCTTTAGCTATCGTAAGTTTATAGAATCACTGTAGGATACAAAAGATGTATATTCTAACACAATTCCTTAGCCTACATAGATTCATAAACCTGTGTGAGAGAACTTCACAACCCTTGAATCAACCACCGAAGGGAGCAAGCCCCAGGAGGTGCAAGAGCGCCGAGTGAGTAGAGCAGTGGAGGGTCATGGTGAAGATGTCGGCAGGGTTGGTGGATATGCCGATCTTGCACATGGTGAGATGGCCATCCTGGATAAGGTCGTGGGTGAAGTAGTGTTTGGTCTTGATGTGCTCGAAGCGACCATGATAAACTTCTTCTTTAGTGAGGTGGATGGTGCTGGCGTTGTCACACCAGAGGGTGAGACAGTGCGGTGATGAGCCAAGGTAAGTGCGAAGACTGCAGAGCCATCGTGCCTCTTGTGCCACCATCGTGACGGTATAGAGTTCAGCTTCGCAGGAGGAGCCACGATGGAGGAAGAGCAATGGAGCGCCAATTGATGAGGCCGGTCCCGAGTGAGAAGTTGTAGCTCTGAGAAGTGCGGCGGTCAGGCTGGGAGTCGGCCCAGGACGAGTCCCTGAAGTCAGTCAGAATAGGAAATCCGCGCCACTAAGGGTGAGGGCGTAGTCCTTCATGCCTTGGGGGTAGCGTAAAACACACCGAGTCGCCATCTAGTGATCATCTAAGTGCTTGCCGACACCAACTATCCGCGCCAAAACACTGACATCAGGGCACAAGCTCTGCATAGGGGTCAGAGGGCGGTCGCGGGGGAAAGCTGATTTCGATGGCAAGCAGCGTGACGATAGGCTTGGCTTTTGACATATCAAACCTCTCAAGGACCTTCTTAATGTAGAAAATTTGAGAACGGATGATATTCTTGGCCTTGAGGTCACGAGTGATCTCCATGTTGAGGTAATTGCAAACCTTCCCCAAGTCTTTGCAGACGAAGCACTGCTGCAGCCCATCTTTGACCTACTGCAGCTCAGCATCTGTGCCAACGGCCAGCAGCATGGCGTCGATGTAGACGAGGATGTAGAAAGGGGACCGGACCATCCGAAGGAAGAGGCTGGAGGCAGCTCGGGATGGGGGGATGTGAGCTTAGCATGCCACTCCCATGGTGCCTGCTTGAGGTCGTGGAGGGGCCGCAGAAGCTTCCAAACAGCGGATGGGTCGTGAGGAGCATGAAGCTTTTGGGGCACTCCATGAGGATGAGCTCGTGTAGGTCACCTGGGAGGAAGGCGGTGGTGATATCCATGGAGTGAAGCAGCATGCCGCGTCTGTCGACAAAGTCTAAGAACACTGGTACGACCGGTAGGGTAGGAGTGGATGAGTAGGTTCTGAAGAATTTGGAGCCATGCTGCTGCTAAAGTCTTTCGCTACATGTCGTGCCGTGTAGATAAGTGCCTTGCCAAGGAGAAGCTTCAGGCGGAAGTGCCAATTGCCCTTGACCACATTGGTCTTGGTCGGCCGAGGGACGTATAGGAAGGAGTGATTGCGGATGAAAGCATCGCTCTACCATGACATTGATGCGGAACGGTGTATCGAGGCAGGCAATAGCCTTTTCGTAGGTGGTGGGTTTGAAGATGGTGGGGGCAACTGCAACACTGCATCATTGCCGGCCGTGTACCTCTCCATCCCTTTCCTCTGCGCTCCCCTCAAATTGAACGACCGTTGCACCAAACAGCACATCGCCCTTGCTCGTCTCAAATCACTGCCTCGACCATTCCGTTCCGCCGTGTGTATTCCTTACTTTCCCCCCCTCACATATTTTTGGACATCTCACCATCTGTGTGTCTTTCCCTGCTCCCCTCACATCCCTCCACCAGCAGGCTCCACTTGTGTCGCCCTTGTCTCCCCTGCATCGCTCCGTGGACTTCTGGCCCGGCTCTGCTGCACCTCCTTCTCAGCCCTCCTCTGCGCCTGCATGGGAGCCCTACCCTGTTCGCTTCCTGCTCTCCACAGGCCTGGTCAGTTCGCTCCTGCTCTCCACAGGCCTGGTCAGTGAAACCTTACATCCGTGCACACCTGGCCTTGCCCTTGTTGCTTTTACTTAGGAGGTTCATCTGCCTCATCATCCCTCATCATTAAATAAGTGGACTTTGCACTTGGACTCAACAGTCAAGGATCTGGGGGAGGCCTTAACGTTTAAACTAAATGGTTTACACCGTTTCCAAAGATATTGTGAGAGGAGTCTTGTGTCCCTTATTCTCCAGCAACATCGTCTTTTTTCGAATGGATCCAGCATTTTTTCTTAGATGGTCGGAAGGTTCGCTTAAGGGTTCCTCTCAGAAATGATTTCCGAGGGACGCACACGGAACCCAACACGTTAACCGAACTTCTAATTCTTCCTTCCTCCTCGCAACGTCCAGATAACACACTTTATTTCAGACTGGTTTATCAACATCCATTCTAAAAATTCCATAGGTCAAGGTGGCTTCGCGATGAGATTGTTGGAAGCATGTTTTACTCGTGAGATCCTTTTACCAATTTATGTAAAACCAAAATCACGATGCGCGTGTGCATGTGTACATGTGTGCATGGGCGTGTGCATGTGTATGTGCACATGGGCGGCAGGTGAACTTAATGAGGGGGACCATGGGAATAGCAACGCAGCACCACGTGGGCACCTCCATCCTCGTCAGCCTTCCAATGGCCGCCTGCCACCTGTCAGAAACTGGCGGTGTTGCTGCTAGTGGCACGGGTGGCGGTGGTGCTGCTGCTGTGGCGAGCGGAGGTGCGAGCATGGAGGTGCACGAGTGGGTGGATCATCGCAAGGCCATCTGCTCGCTTGTGGCGGGCAAGACAGCGCTGCTGCTGGATGCCATGCCGCTCAGAGCGCAGGTGAGTTGATGCCATACCATGCGTTATTGCTGCACCAGGCCATCAGCCATTGGCCCTTTCTTCACGTGGTACCCTTTCCTGCGCCTGGATTGCTTTCCTCCTCCTTACATATTTCTTTCCCCTTATTGTGTGGCTGCTGTGTGAGCTGCCACCAGGCAACGGAGGCGTGTCTGCGCTACCTGGGAATGGACGTCACTCTGGCAGCCTCACCCGCACAGGCCATGCGCCTCATGCGCCACCCACCCACCACCACCACCGGCGGCGGCAGCAGCAGCGGCGGTGGCGGTGGCGGCAGCGGTGGAGGAGGAGGAGGGTGGGACGTGGTGCTAGTAGACGTGGACGTTGCTGGCCCGCGCACAGGCCTCCACGTGGGCGAAAAGATTCTGCGCCACGCGGCTGATGCAGCCGCTGCTTCTGCTGTTGCTTCCGATGCTGCCACGAGCTCCCAGGGTCGGCAGGGTGGGGGCGAGGCAGGGCGAGAGGCAGGGCGGGCAGTGGTGGTGCTGACGGGGGCGAGGGCAGACAGTGTGGAGAGCGAGCAGGCGGAGAGGATGGGGTTTGCGGCTGTGCTGCCGCACCCATGGCTTGTCACTCACACCACACACTGCCTGCAGCATGTGAGTGCCGGGAGAGGGTGGTGCCAGCAACTCTTGACATGAAGCTTCCTACCATCATCTCCTGCTCTCCATCCCAATCTGCATGCGCTAGCGGTTTAACCTCCCATTCCTTCCCCTCCTTCATCTCTCTCACGCAGCTCTTCTTTCGCACTGCAGAGCGGCCGCCATCCAGTCCGCGAGGCAGCACCCAAAGTGCCACTCCAACCACACCCACCACCTCTGCCTCGCCGGCGCCTCCCACCCACCCACCCCCTAGTCGCTCCCTCGGGCCCCCACTTCCCAACGACACAGCCTTGTTGTCTCCAAGTGCCTCCAACCCACCTCCAGCAGCAGTGCTCAGCCCGTTGGCGGTGCGGCGCGTGGCGCCGGAGGAGGAGCTGAGGGCGCTGGTGGGGCAGCAGGCGGTGGTGGTGGTGGATGACAACGCTGTCAACCGCGCCGTCGCCAGACGCACGCTGCTCGCACTCGGGGCTCTCGTGCACTTGGCAGCGGGAGGCGCACAGGCGCTGGACTGGCTGCGCCAGCACATGGCTGCTGCCACCCGCGGTGGGCAGGAGGGGCTGGGGCAGCAGCAACAGCAGCAGTGGCAGGCGGAGGGGCAAGAGGCAGAGCGCGCTGTGCCGCTTGTGCTGTTGGACCTTCAAATGCCCGACATGGACGGGTGCGTGTGGTACACATGTCCTCCCTTCATCGTTTCTTTCTGTATGTGCCTAGTCTATGTGCCTGCTGCTCTTTTGCTGATAGCAGCTTCGTCTTCGTCTCTAAACCACACATCTTCACAAGAAAACAACAACATCAAAGCTCAATCCACCATGCGCACCCCCCCGCCATGTCGGCCCACCCCCGTGCAGCTACGAGATGGTGCGGCGCATCCGAGCCATGGAGGTGGAGGCCGCCGCAAGTGACGCCCCGGCGGGTGAAGCTCATGCGGGAGGCAGCAGGGGCTGGCGGCGGCGGTGGTGTGTGGTGGCGCTGACAGCGGATGTGGACGGCGATGTGCGGCGGGCGTGTGCTCAGGCCGGCATGGATGGCGTCGTCGCCAAACCCATTGTGCCGCGCGACCTCCTCGCTGCGCTCAAGAGCGCCGGCTACCGCAGTTAGTAGACCGGTGCATGGATATGTGTAGGAGTAGCAGCGCAATTATCTCACACATGGTTATGTGTAGGAGTAACACACATCGCCTATCTCACTCGCTTTCCACACCAACTGATGGTACAATCTCATCTCATCATTTTGGTATAGTGCCACGTACCCCTTGATGACTGCGTTTTGACAACACACAATTCTGAAAGCACTGTGCTCACTTATATGTGTGCAGGTGTACATTGTTAGGCTAGGTTTGGTTGTATTGTAGAGGGTATGGGTAGCTACTAGTTCCCTCTTTATACGCCCCCTAAGTCATTCTTGGTACCGGCTTAGGTTAGGTTCTCCCGCCTTCCTACCTCACTAGCTCCCTAGCGCCATCAAGCGTCTCCCCCCCCCCCCCCTCTCTATAACACCCTATAGCGGCTCCCTTCTAGCGCCCCGTCCGTCGCAACCCCCACCCGCACCCTACCGTCACACCCCGCCTCGCACCACCGGCGCGCCCCACCGTCACGCCCCGCCGTGCCCTGCTGCTGCGTGCCCCCGCGCCTTGTGGCGCCCGCTGCGCGCCCTGTCACACGCTCCCTCGCCCTGCCGCGCCTTGACGTGCCCTGTAGCCGCGCACCCGTGCGCCCCGCCACTTCTACTGTGCTTGGCACGCCCGCGGCCGTTGAACCTGTTGCGGCTGCCGCTTCTGCACATGCTGTTGCACCCATGTACGGTATGTCGTCGTTCGCGCTAGATGCGCACGCGCCGCCGCCGCCCGCACTTGTCGTGTTTGTTAGGTGTCGCCCGCACCTGCGCCCGCGCGTGTCACCACGCCTGCCGCCACAGCGCCCGCACCTGCTACGTCCGCGTCACCCCCTTTTGCGACGCGGCCTGCCGCCCCCGCGCACGCGCCTGTGCCCATGCCCGCGCCTACCACGCCTATCGCCATGCCTGTTGCAACCGCACTTGCTACTACTCGACGTCCCCAAGCCTTTTGCGGCCTGCCCCAACTTTCTCCTCCTCCGCCTATGGCTGTCCCCTCTCATCTGATTCGGTTGTGCCCCTGCTCTTTCCTGCCATAGCATCCGATTTTGTGCTGCGGCTCGATGTGGGGGGGCAGGCGATCGACGTCTGATGTACGCTCACGTGTTGGGTAAGCTACCTGCACCCGAGCATCCTCCTGCCCTTACTGCTGCTTCCACTTCGATGGGGCAGGAGGCTTACCGCATGGCCCAGCTTGCGTATTCGGTTTGGGTGTCGTGTGACACTATGCGCGACTGGCTCTTAGTCGCCTCGTGCCTCCGGTCGAGCGAGTGCACTTTCGCCGGGGCATGATGACGAAGGAGTGGCTGGATGGTATTGCTGCTCTCTACTCCAACCCCTCCTCTGCTACTCTATAGCCCCTAGTCATCCCTTTCCTCTTCCCTGATCTCCTTCCTTTCTCTAATGTCCTTGACCTCATTACCAACTGCGCTCGCTTGACGTTAGCTTCCATTCTACTTGCACTACTGACGACCTTGTTGAGCCCCACCCATGTTTCTCACCTTGCACCTCCTCGCGACCCGCCTCCCTGACCGACGCGCACCTGCCAGCGATGCGCTCCTCGCCATGCACCCCATGCGCCTCACTAGCGATCTATTTGAGACCAGTCTCATTGATAAGGAGACCCGACTTCACACCATCGCCTCCACCATTGGTGCAGTAGTCCCCCTATCTTTGAGAGTTGTGCACCGCCCCAGCTCTCTACCTCAGCTGCTGTTGCTGAGCCTATTACGATAGCGGAGGTCGCAACCGTCGCTGCCCCCTCTGGTGGGCGGGCCTGACGCAGAGGTGGTCATAGTTGGGAGGAGGTGAAGGTGCTGGTACGTTGAGGGGTGCGGATGATGGGAGTGCTAGTCCGGGAGGTGCTACCGCAGGAGGTGCTGGAGTGCGACGGTGATACCGCAGCAGCAGCAGCCGTAACACCAGCCGTAGTATCAGCAGCAGTAGTAGCAGCATCAGATCCAACAACTTGTCTCCCAGCTGTAGTGGGAACCTACTGGCTCGGAGAGCATTGGTCGAGGGGCGGGGTCTGCCCGCTGAGCGTTGCGTGACCCCCCACCAGGCCCAACCACTAATAGATCCTGCCTAGTCCTCTACGCGGCACCTTCTCTGAGTGAACCTGCCATGTCCGGTTGTCCTCTTTGGCTCCCTAACAGGTTTTTACTTCCTCTCGTTCTCCAAAAACTTGGTGGGTGTCAGTCGTTTTCAGGGCTTGGTGGGTGTCACCTAGACGTTTCCTCCAGCCCCGCCTGCGCCTCATCCGTCGTCACTTGCTGTCTCCTCTCCTCCGTTCTCAAACTTTCTCTTGGCCACTCGCCTTATGGTCTCTCGTGTCCTTTCCACCCTCATTACCGGCCACACAGCTCCTCCTCTGTCCTTCTCAACTCTTGTCACTGCCGTCGCTGGCTTTGTCTCCACCCGCCGCCTTGACTAAACCACGCAGTTGATCTCTGCACATGCCCGTCCTGCACTTGGCATTGACGTGTTGGATTTATTTGCGACTGTTGTTCCTCATCCCTACACTATGCTGCCAGTCCTGGAGGGTGGGACGCTCCATGGATGGATGCGCCCTACTTGGTGGATATGCGGGTGAAGAGGTTCGGTCAGGCCGCGTTAGATCTTTTATCGTAGTGCGTTCCTACATTTTGTGCTCTCGTTTTTTGAATTCCGTCACACATTCACTCCCCTCCCTTTTCACCCCGATTATTTCACTCACTTTCATTCTTTTCTCTAGCTACGTTTTGCTCGTGAACCGGGCTTGCTTGTTTGAGGAGCTTTGTGGTCAAAACGTTTTATGTTTTGCAAGAGCATCAATTGTATACAATTCAACAGGTATAAACGAGATATTGCATCATGTCTGTGGCAAATTTTGTTGTTCACTCTTGGCTGGTAGTAGCACCACAGTCAGCAACTGTTTATGAAGGTGGCGCCACGGGCAAAGAAGGTGCACCACCAACACTTTATAATAACTACACTAAACTACAGCTACAGGTAGTTACAGATATATTCTAACATGACAATGAGGGATGTATTATACTCGCATGCTAAAGTGGACGGAGAAAAGAGTGGTAGCCGTGTCTACATACTAAGTGAGAAGAATTGAACGAGAATGAAATGAGTATGAACGAAGTGAGTACAAATAGGAAACCCTAATTGGGTTGTACCCCCTATGGGATACCCCACTATAGCCTACACAAATAAGTAAGCTATATGTTCTGACACACCCCCATAGGCAAAGTGGGGGAGAACAAGGGGTCACAAGACCAGTCAAGCAAAGCAAAGCAAAGCTCAGGGTGGATCACAAAGTCACCACGCATTCCGAGCACAAGTTCAAAGGCCAGAAGGCCAGTTCACATGCAAGATCATATATAGAGGTATACAAGAGTCAAGTAAGCAAGAGCAAGGGTATATATATGCGAAGGTACAAGCAAGGTCAAGAGGAGAGCAAGTGAGGCAAGACAGGCACAAGACCCAACTGCGTGCAGCAACGCTGATGATCACAAGGCGCAAGTGCCTTGGTGAAGACATCAGCAGTGTTGGCCTCAGAGGCCACGTACGCAAGTCGCAACTGTCCACGCTGCTGTAGCTCACGAGCAAGAAAGTAGCGGAGAGCAATGTGCTTCGTTCTGTGCTCCAGTCGCTGCTCTCGACACAAGGCCAGCATGGCCTTGTTGTCTACGTACAGGACTGGAGGAGAACGAGGCTGCTCTCCAAGGTCGGTCAGCAGGTAGGTGAGCCAGCGTAACTCCTGTGCAGCCATAGCCCCAGCGTAGATCTCAGCCTCACAACTGGAGCCGAGAACAGAAGACGAGCGGGTAGCCCGCCACGAAACAGAGCCGGAACCAAGGCTGAAGGTGTAACCCTGTGACGACCGCTGCGTAGCCTGGTCGTCAGCCCAAGAAGCGTCTGCGTGCCCAGTGAGGACGACTGGACTGCGCCCTCCAAGCACTAGCCCCATGCCCGACGTACTGCACAAGTAGCGCAACACCCTCTTCGCTGCAGCCATGTGCTCTGGTCGGTGTCTCCCAGGAGCAACAAAGCGTGCGAGAATGCTAAGAGGGTATGCGAGGTCAGGTCGTGTGCAGGTCATCAGGTACATGAGGCAGCCAACAAGCTCTGCAAACGGGCCACTCGACTCTACGGACTCATCCGAAGGCAGAGCTGAGAGCGAGTGGCGAGTAGGCAGAGGAGTGGCCTGAGGCGAGGAGTACGTGAAGCCGAAGCGCTGAAGGACCTGCTGCACCATGTGTGACTGAGTCAGGGTAATGGTGCGGCGTGCTCTGTCCCGGGTGATCTGCAAGCCAAGGTAGCTGCGCAGTTCACCCAGGTCAGTGCACGTGTGTCTCTTCTGCAGCTCGGACTTCACGTAGGCGAGTCCAGCAGTGTCAGCTGTGGCAAAGACCAAGTCGTCGACGTACACGAGGATGTAGAACGGCGGCAGAGAGGTGTCGGTGCGCAGAAACAGCGACGGGTCGGCAGTAGAAGGAGCAAACCCAAGTGCCGCGAGCGTAGTCCTCAGTGTGTCGTGCCACTCACGTGGCGCCTGGCGGAGACCGTAGACTGGACGCCGGAGACTCCACTGGGTACCAGGAGGGAAAGACCCAGTGAAGCCAGGTGGGCGACGTAGCCAGATCTCCTCGTGCAGGCTGCCCTGCAAGAAAGCTGTGCTGAAGTCGAGAGAGTGCAGCTCGTAGTCACGGTGAGCAGCAACGTGCAGCAGAACCCGAAGAGTGGTCATCTTCGGGGTGGGGGAGAAGGTCTGAAAGTAGTCAACCCCCTGCCGCTGACTGAAGCCACGAGCCACGTAACGCGCCTTGAAGACAGGCGGAGAACCCGGCGGCCGCTTCACCCTGAAAATCCACATGCCACTGACGATGTTCGCCCCAGGAGGGGGAATAGCGTCAACGTAGGTGCCTGTGGACTTCCAGGAAGCCATCTCTGCATCCATAGCTGCCTGCCACTGAGAGGAGTAGGGACCCTCTATCGCCTCCGCGTAAGAGCGCGGAGTCGGGATGTCTGGTGCATCCGGGTCTCCCTCAGGGGCTAGCAGTACAGACGCGAGACGAGGTGAAGCGGCGGCCAGACACTGGAACTCCTCTTGCCTGTCCTCAAGGACGTCCGTGCCAAGGGCACACTCACCCCCGACGGACGGAGGACAGGCGGACTCAGACTCAGTGACAAGCCGAGCAGCGTAGTCTAGACGACAGCGCGCAGCAAAGTCGACAAGCTCAGTGACAAGGGCAGACGCAGCAGACGACTCGAAGGAAGGGTCAGTGACAGCAGTAGCCAGGAGACGCGTGACAGTAGGACTGGCAGCACGAAGAGAGTCCGACTCCGGGTCGGCAAGAGCAAGAAGAGAGGAAGCAGAAGGAGAAGGCAAAGGGGCACGCAGAGGAGCAGTGGACGGACGCGGTGACATCCGGTGCGTGCCAGGGACAGGAGGAGGACGCTGACGCGACCCGCGACCACTAGCGCGCTCAGTACGAACAGGCGACACAGGACGAGACGCAGGCTCACGACGCTCAGTAAGACCTCCAGTCGGACCAGCGTAGGGAGAAGGAGCAGGCAAAGGGGAGGCAGGCTGTAGCTGTGGCTGTGACCGGACAGGCTGCGGACCCTCTAAGGGAGGAGGAGGAGGTGTAAGACCAAGAACCTGCTGTAGGAGCGGAACGAAGTACGGTCGGGGCCGCGCGGCGACGCTAGAAACAGCAGGAACAGCACCAGCAGCCCCGGCAGGAGCACCCACTCCAGCAGCACCTCCAGCAGCACCACCAGAAGATCCAGAACCTCCAGCAGCAGCACCAGGAGCACTGTCAGTCGGACCGCCAACGGCAGGCTCAGCGCCAACACCCTCAGCAGGACCAGCTCCAGGAGAACTCTCAGACCCAGCAGCTCCAGCACCCACAGTACGAGCACCGGCGGGACGCGCGGCAGCAGTGCCCTCTGCAGCCGAAGAACCACCAGCACCAGCAGCACGTCTCCAGCGCCTGGCAAACCACTCACGCAGCTCCTGTGGGGAGAGTGGCTCCCGGCGAGACGAAGCACCCCCAGGCACAGCACCTCCAGGCTTAGCACCCCTAGACACAGCACCCCCAGGCACAGCACCCCCAGGCTCAGCAACCCCAGGCACAGCACCCCCAGGCGCAGCACCTCCAGGCCCAGCACCCCCACGCACAGCACCCCCAGACTCGGCACCTCCAGGCTCAGCACCCCCAAGCACAGCACCCCCAGGCTCAGCACCCCCAGGCTCAGCACCCCCAGACTCGGCACCTCCAGGCTCAGCACCCCCAGACTCCGCACCCCCAGGCTCAGCTCCCGCAGCAGCACCAGAGTCACCAGTGACCTCGACAGGCTCGACCGCGTCTACCTGGGACACACCTGAAGGGGCAGGACCCTGAGGGGGGAGGGGGACTACCGGGGGGGGACCTGGTACCAAGAAGAGCGGGGGTGGGGGGAGGGACGGAGTGCGGTAGGGGAAGAGGCGGTAGTAGGGTACCGACTTGTCGAACGTGACGTCCTGGGAGGACAGAACACGTCGAGAGGTGGGGTGGTAAAACTGCCACCCAGGGGCGTCGGGGGGGAACCCCAGGAAGACGCAGGGAGAAGCACGAGGGGACAGCTTGTCCGCAGACAGGTCGCGAACAAACGCCCGAGATCCCCAGACCCGGAACGCCGACGCATCGCCAACCTTCCCGGTCCACAGCAGGGCTGGGGAGGTCTCCGGTCGAGAGACCCTGGGGTGGAGGTTGATCTGGTGCGCAGCGTACCTGACCGCAAACGGCCACAGAAAATGGGGAGCAGCCGCATGCATCATGGACGTACGAGCGACGTCCATGACCATGCTAATGCGGCGCTCAGCAATCCCATTCTGCTGTGGTGAGTCCGGAAGCGTGAAGGTCTGACGGATGCCTCGCGCACGACAGTAGGCACTCAGGAGGCCAGAGGAGAACTCTCCGCCTCTGTCCGAGTGCAGACGCAAAACAGGGAAGTCAGAGCCAAAGCTCCTCTGAAGCTGGAGACGAGCTGCGCGGATCCAGTCGATCAACACCTCAGTGACCTCACCCTTGCTGCGCAAGGGGAAGACTGTGGTGTAACGCGAGTAGTCGTCAACCACCAGCAGGAAGTAGCGCTCCTGACCCTGTCCACGGACGCGGGCTGGGCCCCACACGTCCATGTGAAGCGTCTGCAACGGGGCCTCTGTCGGAGGAAACTGGGAGGAGTGAGGGGCAGCACGCTGGCGCCCCTCGACACAGGGGACACAGGTGGGGCCAGGGCCCGGAGGAAGGGGAGGGAGAGACCGGGGAAGACCAGACACAAGGACTCGCGAGGCCATGCCTCGGAGCCGAAGCAGAGAGGGGTGGCCAAGGCGGTGGTGCCAGAGGAGGGTCTCGTGAGACAGACGACGACACGAGCAGGGGGCAGACTCAGGACCAGACCTGGACGCTGCAGCAAACACCTGACCAGACGAAGGGACCCTACCAGACTCAGCACCTGGAGGAGAAGCAGTGGTCAGTGTGTACAGGCTCGACCCTGGCCGACGTGTAAACGTAGCCAGGTGGCGACCTGTATCCGCCTCCGTGCAGTGGGTCACCCGCTGACGAGCAGGGGTGAACTGGTGGACACCCGCATCCTGGAGGTCAGCACCACTCACCAAGTTCGTCGAGAACGAGGGGAGGTAGAGACCAGTCAGGGTGCCAGAGGGGGCCGCCGGACACGGGAGGACAGTGGAGAAGCGAGACAGGACAGGCCCCCCAGAGGGGTCAGCCAGGGACACCGCAACCGGCCGACTCAGCGGCGTGAGAGTGGTGCGGTCCCTAAAGAAGGAGCGAGACGCTCCAGAGTCAAGGGTGAAGGTGTGAGAGGCCGAAGCCGACACCGTACCTGAGAGGGCAGACTCACCAGCACCTGAGAGCACAGACGCACTGGCACCTAGAGCAGCAGCCTCACTAGTACCTGACGCGGCAGTACCAATGCCCGGGTCGGGCGGGAAACACCGGTAACAGTCATCCTCATCACTACCAGTCACAGCATACATAGCAGCGAGAATAGCATCAAAATCAAGATCATAAATAGCTACACCAGCCCTAGACAGCTCTCCCCAGCGGGGGATCTCAGCGGCCTCCGGAAACTGCTGACGCCAGGCGTCGGTCAGGCGGCCAAAGCAGCGGCGGGCTGTGTGGGCGCCTCCACACCTCTCCCCTGCACGGTCACCGGTGCGAAGAACGTAGGGGCAGGGACCAAGCGCACCACCACGCTGACGCTGCAAGTACCACTCACGGAGCTGCTGAGGGGCGGGGACGGTGCGAGAGCGCTGGTGCTGCTGTGGCTGCTGCTGCAGCTGCTGCTGCTGCTGCTGCTGCTGGCGCTGACCACCCCCAGAGCTGCTCCGCTGGGACGAGCCACCCCGACCCCCGCCTCCACCGCCACCCCCGCCTCCACCGCCACCCCCGTCTCCACCGCCACCTCCCCCACCAGGACCGTCGCTCCCACCGCTCCCACCGCCTCCTCCGCTACCACCGCCGCCGCCACCTCCGCCTCCACCGCCGCCACCAGTACCTCCACTCCCGCCACCACCCCCACCGCCACCCCCACTCCCCCCGCCACCCCCATCGCCTCCTCCACCGCCCCCTCTAGCTCCACCCGCTCCCTTGCCCCCCTTGCCCTTGCCAGAGCGGCGTCTGCCGCTGGGGGCAGACGCCGCGCCGACCGACTCAAAACCAGTGAGGTCGGCCGCAGCGGCAGAGGCGACAGAGGGCAGCAGGGGGGAAGGACCACACCCCTCAAAGATGGGGGTGCGAGGGTCACCCCGAGAGGCCCCTACAGCGACAATACTCTTCTCAGCCGCTAGCAGGGACTCCTCAAGGAGGTCGACAGTGAGAGTGGTGGGACAGACAGAGAGAAACTGGTCCCTAACGACACGAAGGGACTCAGGGAGACGGGTGACGAGAAAGTAGAGAGTGATGTACATGGGAGGAGGGTTCGCAGCGCGGAACTCAGCAGGAAGGGCAGTGCGGTAGCGGGTGTCACTAGCACGGAGGTGGGTAACGAGGTCAGCAACAGTGGGAAAGGAAGCGAGGTCAGGGAAGAGAAACGGTAGCATGAGGCGGCTAAGGGTAGCGGAGGAAGGGGAGGAGTAGCGTGCAACTACAGCGTCGTACAAGGCCTGAGCGGTCTTGCACTGACTAAAGTGGGCACGCTCAGAGGAAGGGAGGTGGCGACGCACAGCAAGACGTGCAGCAGCATCGCGGGTCGCCCACTTGGAGCGAACGGCAGAGTCAGCATCAGCAGGTGGGGCAGGGACAGCGCCAGAGACAAAGTCAAAGAGAGAGACCTCATCTATCGCATCACACAGTAAGTACAGCTGCAGGTCTTCAATCCAGACGGCAAAGTCAATGGCCCTCCCCTCAGCGTCAAAAGTAAGAACATTGGGGGTGGCCATGGCAGCAGCTGAAAGTCTCACCGGGCTGGGAGAGTCGGGTAGGTCAGCAGCAGAGGAACACAGCTCAGGAACAGCGGCACGGCTCGGGCGGCTCGGGTTGCTGGGGCGGCGCGGGCGGCTCGGGCGGCTCGGGCGGCTCGGGTTGCTGGGGCGGCGCGGGCGGCTCGGGCGGCTCGGGCGGCTCGGGCGGCTCGGGTTGCTGGGGCGGCGCGGGCGGCTCGGGCGGCTCGGGCTGCTCGGCTGGACGGGCGGCTCGTGCGGCGCTGGTGTCGCGACGGGCGGCTCGCTGGCGGCTCGCGGGCGGCTGCACAGGCGGCTCAGGGACGGCGGCGCGGGCGGCTCAGGGAGCTCACGGGCGGCTGCGACGGGCGGCTCGCGGGCGTCGGGCGCTAGGGCGTTGGGGCGACGACGGGCGGCGCTCAGGCGTTCGGGCGGGCGGCCGTAAGGGCGAAAGGGCGGTCGGCGCTCGGGCGCTAGGGCGGGCGGCCGGCCGTCAGGGCGCTAGGGCGGGCGGCCGTCAGGGCGCTAGGGCGGGCTGCGGTCGGGCGCTAGGGCGGGCGGCCATCAGGGCGCTAGGGCGAGTGGCGCACGGGCGCTAGGGCGGGCGGCCGTCAGGGCGCTAGGGCGAGCGGCGCTCGGGCGCTAGGGCGGGCGGCCGTCAGGGCTCTAGGGCGGGCGGCGCTCGGGCGCTAGGGCGGGCGGCGCTCGGGCGCTAGGGCGGGCGGCGCTCGGGCGCTAGGGCGGGCGGCGCTCGGGCGCTGGGGCGGGCGGCCGTCAGGGCGCTAGGGCGGGCGGCCGTCAGGGCGCTAGGGCGGTTGGCGCTCGGGCGCTAGGGCGAGCGGCCGTCAGGGCACTAGGGCGGGCGACCGTAAGAGGAGGGAGCGGCGGGAGCGCGACGGTAGGGGCGACACGCAGGGTCGCTAAAAAAAAGAACGCGCGCCTCGGGGCGCGCTTCGGTGGGCCCTAGGAACAGTCCCTAG